GGGGCACGAGCGGGGGTGGCAGGAACCGGCCCCCTGCCCAGTGGTGCTGTCTGCCCCCACCCCCGCCAGACCCGTGGGCACCGCCCCGAGGCTCCTGCTCCAAACCCTGAGGAGGGCAGCTCAGGGTGACGCTCAGGGTGAGGGAGGCCTGTGCCAGGCCCACCCCGTCCGCCTTCTGCTCCGAGGCGAGCAGGTCAGACCGGGAGGCGGGTCTGCAGGGACACGCCTGCTTCACCATTTGTTTGTGTGGAGCCCGCCTGGTACAGGGCAGAGGCGGCTGCATCGGCTCAGCGTGGGGACCTTCTCAGGCAGACTGCCCGTGACGTGACGGAGGCAGTGAGCTCCCTGTCCCTAGAGGTATGCAAGCATGGGCTGCACCATGCTGAGAGGGCGGGCAGTCAGGTCGTGACTAGAGATGGTTTCTACCATGTTTCCCTGCTTTTGGGGGTTCCTAGAAGGGTCCTTAGACCTCACTCAGGGCCTCTCTCCTGGCTGGTAAGTCCTGAAGATGCAGTCAGCTGTGGCAGCAGGACACACATGCACACCCACACACACATGTGTACACACGTGCGTGCACACACAAATACATGAACAATGAACACACGGGCACACATACACCCATATGCACCCATGCACACATAAGCATGTGAGTGCACACATACACACATGTGCACACACATGCACACACCCGGCCTGCAGCTTGTACCTTGAGCAGGCGTGTGAGCTTGCTGTCCCTGAAGTTCACGTACTGCGTGCGGCCGCCGCCCCTCTCGCTGAGCGCGTTGATGCAGTTGCCCAGCGCCAGCAGCGAGCGGTTGATGTGCGCGCCCTCCTGCATCCTTTTGCCGCGGTTCTGGGTCTGCTCGGGGAGAGGCGGGCAGGTGGGAGATGGTCTGTGCCCCCACCTGCTCCCCACACCAGGCCCTGGGAAGGGACTGAGGTCCAGGGCCATACCCGTCCCCCGGAGGCTCGGGCCCTGCAGGCACGGACTAGACCAGCCGTGGGCAAACTACGACCCGCGGGCCTGATCCGGCCCGTTTGAAATGAATAAAACTAAAAAAAAAAAAAAAAGACTGCACCCTTTTATGTAATGATGTTTACTTTGAATTTATATTAGTTCACACAAACACTCCATCCATGCTTTTGTTCCGGCCCTCCGGTCCAGTTTAAGAACCCATTGTGGTCCTCGAGTCAAAAAGTTTGCCCACCCCTGGTCTAGATCCAAACCCGGGGCTGCGATGAGGGTGACAGAAGCCCGCGGGCACACTGGGCAGCCGCTGGAGGGAGGGGAGCCGTGTGCGGCGCTGGCAGGTGCCCTTCAGCATCATGAATGAGGTAGCGTGGGCAGGCGTGTCTGCAGCGCCATCTGACTCAGTGAAGACGTGAATGTGCGCTCACGAGGCGCCCCCGCAGCAGCGCCCCCTCATCCTCCAGACATCACACGGGGCCACGGTCCCCCGGTCCTTGCCGTCCAGGACTGGGCCCCAGGACCCGGCACAGCCCTCTGTCCTCCTGCGTCTGGAATTATTCCAGCCGCAGACCCGGCCCGCTCGCCCTGCCTCGCCTGCTCTCCCCGGGAAGCCACATGAAGGCTCATCAGTGCCCCCGGCTCCCAAGGGCCCTGTGCTTCCCGAGGGGCCGTGTGGAGGCGTGGCCCGCCCCTCCTCCGGGAACCGTTACCGTCTTTCCAACGGCTGCTGTCTTTGACCCGCTGGCTCTCCTACCTCAGGTTCCCATTAACATGCACATTGCAATCCTAGGGTTAGGTTACAATATCTGACTGGCCCGACCGGCGTAACTCAGTGGTTGAGCGCTGACCTATGAACCAGAAGGTCAAGGTTCAATTCCTGGTCAGTCAGGGCACGTGCTCAGGGTTGCAGGCTTGATCTCCATTGTGGGGCACGCAGGAGGCGGCCCAGCAATGATTCTCTCTCATCATTGATGTTTCTAAATCTCTCCCCCCTCCCTTCCTCTCTGAAATCAATAAAAAAATATTTTTAAAAAACAGCCTGACTCTGGGCCAGGCCTGGCCGATTCAGGACCTGAGCGCCAGGGCAGGGCCAGGGCGGGTGAGGGAGGGAGGGGAGGACCTCCACGGTCGGGTGGGCACAGGGTGGAGGACTGGGATTTGGGCCGTGGCCGGGATCCAGCACTAACCCTCTGTGCTCGGCCAGGCCCCTCCCCCTGGCATGCTCTTCCGTACACTCCCCCAAAGTCCCCAGGGCCCATCAGGCCCAGCCCGGAGACCCCACCACTACCACCACCCTCCTCTGAGCTCCCATGAGCCCCGTGTAGACCCCAAATCTCAAAGGACAGCCTCCCCGAGCTGCAATGGTCTGCTCACAATTGTCTCCCCGACCCCTGAGGCTCTGGGCTCCCTGCGGGCGGGTCCGGCCTCAGACGCTGCGGTGGGGGGCGGGGGGAGGGGGAGA